ATATATATATATATATATATATATATATATATATGTATGCAACGACTCGATCGTGCGTCTCGTGCAACTCGTACGATATTTTGCGGTTACATACCTATTACACTTTCGGTTCTGGTCAGTCTCCTTGCCTCTCGGTTTATTAGTGAACAATCGCATCTCTCTGGTCCAAGTCTTATTCTCCTCGCATACTTAGGTCGACTTATCGATTACACGCTTCCTCAGAACTGTTTCTTTTTCTCTCCGTGCTTTCGAATATACTTACTTTCGAATCTTTTCCTTTCTCCCTTCTCCTTCCATTCCGGGAAGAGGGGAGGAAGGCTTCTCCGATCCTTCCCTTCTCATTACTGTCGCCGTCGCCGTCTCCGTCGCCGTTGCCGTTGCCGTTTCCGTTTCCGTTATCGTCGTTGTCATTGTCCTGTCGCTCCGATCATCGTATCGTAACTGTGATCATTCTCATTGTCGAGTCGCATCTTCATCATTGTAGGAACGCATCACTGTCGTTTTAAGTACCAAACCATCGCTACCACCACTACTAGTATGATCATCGCCTTTTCCTCTCTCTGCTGTTACTACACACACGCATACATATTTTCACACATATTTAACAAGCGGACACACACACACATACATACACACATACGCACGCAGGCACACGCAACACATCAAATCATATGATCATTCGAACCTTCGTCTTGTTGCCGATTTTGTATTTGTAGTTCCGTTTTCTTTTTCTTTTTGCCTTTGTTTTATTGTTGCCATTGTTTTGTGCCATTGACAATACGGAAAAGAGATAAAGTAGTTAGATCGAAAAATGTGGAAGCAATTTTGTATGTGACGAAACAGTTATTAAAAAAGACTATAGAGCGAGTCAGTGAGAAAAGAAAAAAAAAGAGAATTAACGCGCTGCTTTGTGCCGCGTGATTTTTAGCAATTGTCGCATTAAGCTAACGTGATTCATTTATTGGGCCTCGAGCATGGGGTACGGGGGATCTGCGTGGACCGCTGGGGCGTTTGGCTCGCTAACAAACGGACAGGCACTCCCGCTCACTTAAATATATATATATATATATATTATACACATATATATATTATATATATATATATATACACATGTTTATCTGCTGTCCGTCTACCCACTCACCGCGATTAAACCGATGTTCGTTTGAAAAGAGAAGTATTTTACTCGAACGACAAATATTTTCTCAATCCGTGATCCTATCCGCGTGTTTCGAGTGGCCACGGCTTGGGAAGATATCGGTCTTTCCGCGTCTCGTTGAACCGCGTTACGCTCATCACTGCCCTGCCTCGATATCTGTTCGCCTACTTTTTATCTTTTGTCCCATCCTCTTCCCTGACCCCATCCAGCCTCCTCTGCTCATCGATAGGTGTACGATAGTTGACTTCAGTCCCATTTTCACCGGTTCGATTAGCTTGCCCCGTTCCTTTTTGTAAAAGATACTGAAAAAAATTGTCCCCGAAGATCGCTTCACGATACCCCAACAAGTTCAGACAGCCAATAAGCAGGTGAAATTATAAAAGGCAAGCTTAATTGGCACGTTCCTTCCACATTATTCTTACAGCTGAATAATTATGAGATTCGGAAAGGGAAAAAGATTGGTGTTACCGTATCTTATAACAATCACCGCTTGTTTGTGGGAAATATTCCAAAGAATCGAGACCGAGATGACTTGTTCGAAGAATTTACAAAGCACGCACGTAAGTTGACAATTGTCCATAAATCAGCAAGCAGTAACCAAAGGAAGTTATATGGGAAAAATAATGGTGGGACAGAAACGATTATATTTTAACGATCGGCTATGTTTATCTGATTTCTGTCAAAAGAGAGATGCCAGGTGGGTTTACTTACAGCCCTCTTGCATCGCTGTCGATGTAGGCAAATTTATTTTCAAATTGGTATATGTACGTGTAATATATATGCCATGGAACATATAATTTTTCACCTGTAAAACATTTTCGCACACGTTCTCGCCGCAACGATCCCATCAGAATATTATTATTATTTTTATTTATTTTTTTTAATTTTCTTCATCTCCGACAAGTGATCTTCACTTTTTATAATTTTACTGCTTTTTTGTTGCCAATTAACACCTATATAGAGAGATGGTACGGATTAATCGATTAATTTTTCTCGTTACCAAATTGTGTCATATTCTCCCCACGATCATAAAATTCGACTTATTATTATTATTATTATTATTATTATTATTATTATTATTATTATTATTATTGCACCTATCGTAAGTAAACGTGTGGAGCGTAAACGTTCTTGATTGTCGTTTATACATTACCCGCTTTTTCGTTTTGTTATTTTTTTCTCTCCCCGCTTTTCTGTTCTTTTATCTATATTTTTTTTCCATTCTCAAGACAAGATTAACTTCGTTGTTCGATTTCACGAGCAGCTGACCGTTCAGTAAACTGTTTGTCAATGTACCTGCACGTACACGTTATTTCATTCACGTATATTCATGAATTCTCTCATTTACTTAGCTTCGCATCCTCGATAGAGTAACATTTCGTACCTGTTAATTGATTTTGAGGGTAATTGTATGTAATACATCGTGGAACCATTGAAAGTACGCCAGATTTCGCGTACGACAGATTTTTTTTTACTACGCGAAAAACTTTGTTTGTTTCAAGTTTGCTTCGACGTGAACGTAAATAGATCTAGCTGGAAAGTCCATCGACGCGATTGTATGCATATCTGGATACTTGTACGTAACAGTCAAAGCTGGACACAGAGAGGAGAAATCTTAATACATACGTATCGAATGCACAGGGTACGACGTTGAATGAATACGGAATTAGGAGCGTGATCGTACGGTGTTTCGATCGAGAGCTATGTATTGGCTATAACTTATTTCTGTCGAAGACGAAGCACATTTTTACCTTGTTCTCTCATTCATTCATGTCTGTGTTGTATATATAAAACACACGTATGTACATGCGTGGATACTCGTGAGCGAGCCAGGTCTTAAACTGAGAGGAAGGAGAGGAGAACTGGCCCACATAGGGAAGAGATAGTAAATGAATGAAATAAGTAATTGAACGTTGTGCAGTATAAAAAGGCTATTTGGAGCTTTTTCATAGGCAATGATACTGAAGTCGATTAACGTTTCAGAGAACCTCGACACTTATTCTATCATTTTTATCATTCGCTTTTGATGCACGCGAAACACGCCGTGGAACACGTGAAAAGGCTCTTAATCGCAAAAAAAATTTGTCTGCGATACCAGTACACAATGCGTACAAGCGTTAATTAGATATGTACTGGAAACCATACGCTGTTTCATCGAGCCGAAAGTTTTCTACATAATCGTCGATTCATCACTGCGATGCATGCCGATTCTAATAGCATGTTCATTCTGTTTGACGAGAACGATAGACTCGACCTACGCGTGTTCCAATTCATTACTTCTCAAGCAACGAGATACGTGCTGAAATTTGTTGAGAGTTAGTTAGAGAGTCATCGAAATACTACGGCTCATCACCCTGTTGCTTTCTTTGTTTTCTTTTCTCTTCTCTCTCTTTTCTTACCCCCCATTACACCGACTTAATTACTCTCAATTCGTATGAGGGTGTTCCGCGTTTAACGTCTAGTCGTCTATTATGAAAAGTTTGCTGAATTTTACAAACGATTTTCACAGTTCTATACGATCAACTATAAACGTACACGTATGCACTCGTAGAGATAAAAGCGACCGCATGTTATGTGTGTATTCACGTGTACGATATATAAATTAATGTGTAAATAACGTACGCACATTAACGTGTAAATATATATATTGATTGAAAGCGTACTACGTTCCGCCCGTGATCGTGATTCGCGTATATGCGACTTAGGCAGTTAGAGCAATGAATAGTTTGGGTGTACGGTTTTGGTATGTATGGGTATATGGAAGAAGGTACCTGCGAGCGTATTTATAGCTGTGTAGTGTTTTTTTCTTTACATATCTACATATACTGGTGTACTTACATATTTTCTATCCGTGGTTACAACATTACGGTGTTCGCATCGCGTTCTCAAAATCTATATCGATCGGGGAGTTCTCTTTAGTTTGCTTTTTTTTTTATCGTTACCGATACAAAGATTTTGAGAACAAACTTATACACGGCATATGTACTGTAGATGCAGGTGTAACGTGTTCGTAGAAAGAAATCGAATTTTTGATACGGTAGGATCACGAAACAAGCTTGACTTTTCACTTTCATTTTCATTCTCTTACTTATTTCGTCTGTTCTTTTAATTTTCTCGTTGCCAAGCATCAGAAATGATTCTGTGCAAAATTAGAAACACGTCTGTACGTTCTACGATTAAAAGACGAGGTCGTTTTTCAGTTAAAGATAATCATTTCTCTTAACCACGGTAGCTCTGGACGTCCTGTACAAATCATTCGGCAATAATCTGATCATACGATAGATTCGATTAATCGAGTGGTTACTCGTCTTCCTTCCTTCCTACCCTCTCATCGTTCTTTCGATCTTTCCATTTCTCTGTTTCTTTAATTCAAACGTCTTCCAAACAATCAGTACAGTCAAGAGCGTTTTACACTGTTATCAGGTACATCAACGGTATATCGAATCAAATCGAAATTCAGCCGGCGTAAAGAAACAATTTATTTGGTTGATTTTCTCAAGATTCATTTACGTTTCTATCTTTTATCTAATTTTATTTCTTTACGCCGCTCTTCTCTCGTTCTCTCTCTATCTATCCGTCTATCTATCTATCTCTACCCTTTCTTTCTATCTTGCTTTCTCATTTACTTTCTTTCATCTTTTCCTCGTGCTCTTTCGTTTTAACTTGTAGACTTCTACATTGTATCTGTTATTTGCCTAGTATTCCAAAGGTGTCCGTTCTTAGATCTGTTTTGTCTGTAACTGTTCATCGTATAGCTGGCCTGACCGAGGTGATTATCTACAGTTCCCCGGACGATAAGAAGAAAAATAGGGGTTTTTGCTTCTTAGAATATGAATCTCACAAAGCCGCTTCCTTAGCAAAACGAAGATTGAGTACCGGTCGCATCAAGGTATGGGGCTGTGATATCATAGTCGATTGGGCCGACCCACAGGAGGAGCCTGACGAACAAACCATGTCTAAAGTGAGTCCCGACGACGAGAAAACGCGCGACCCTCTCTCGATCTCGTTCGCGCCAAATTGTTCGTTACAAACGTTTTCGTTACAAATCATTTAGGTACGTGTCCTGTACGTGAAGAATCTGACGCAAGATTGTTCCGAGGAGAAGCTGAAGGAGAGCTTCGAGCAATTCGGTAACGTCGAAAGGGTAAAGAAGATCAAGGACTACGCTTTCGTGCATTTCGAGGAGAGAGATAACGCCGTTAAGGTAAGCGATGATCCGCGACACGCGATTCGATAAGACGAGGCAGCGGTCGCAGAGAACGGAACGGTCTAAACGTGTACTTGTTTCTCTTTACCGAAGGCGATGAACGAATTGAACGGAAAGGAAATAGGTGGCTCGCACATCGAAGTGTCTCTCGCGAAACCACCATCCGACAAGAAGAAGAAAGAAGAGATGCTACGCGCCAGGGAGCGAAGAATGATGCAGATGTTCCAGGGTCGGAGCGGGTTAGTTGGCATTTATTTTTTAATCAACGTTGATTCTTATTTAATTCACCGCCTCGATTCGGTTCTTTATGGCAGTCGCTTCTGTTACATGTAGCGTGTAATTTCTGTTTGTAGGGGTTCTCCGTCGCATCCGAGTATGATGGGAGGACCGATGCCAGTTCGCGGGCCCGGCCAAGGTCCTCGTGGTACTGGCGCAGGTATGCGAGGACAGATGGGACGAGGGGACTACGGTAAGTATCGATACGTTTTCGTTTCCATCGCAAACATCCCAAAACCTATTCGGGATACTCTGATCGTGCATACGCGCGTATATATAGTACACATAACTATTTGTTAACACCGATTCGTGTTACGTTCACCCTTTAAATAACGATTCGACGTGTACCTGCTACACGATTTGTTCTCATCGAAACGTTAACGAGCCGGATTCGTTCTTAGGCTTAGAGTGTGATCAATTTTTTCAATGACATTCGATATTTCGTGCGTAACGAGTCGAACTCTGTATTTATGTACATACCGCAACTTTTCGCGTGAAATTGATTGAGATTCGATCGGGATCAAAATGAAACGCGGTGATCGGCCGAGAGAGTTGCTCGCCGACGAATTTGGACGTTTGTTTAAACTACTAATGCTTTATTTTTCAGAAACAATCGTTATTAGGTCGTTTATATCGGTTTATGTCTTATGGTAACGTTAACACAGACGTCCCGCATGCTTTTGGGGATTTTTCACTGTGTCACCGTACACCTTGGCTCACGTGCGCGATAGAACGAGCGACGAATTTAGTTTGGAATGAGAACGTAGACGATTCGAGCAATTAAGAAAATTGAAGAGCCTCGTGCACGTTGTAGCGCGCATCAAGGTTGCGGTGAACAAGTGGTCGGATAATATTCTTTTTCTCTTGTTCATTAGTCGGTATAGTTGTATTCGAACGATACTGTTCTTGAGTCTTATTTGGTCCGAGCCTACTATGATATATACGTCTACGATTATTGTCATGCAATGTTCAGTTTCTTCCCTGTTTTCTTTTCTGTCTCTTTTTATTATTACCGTTTAATGTGATCGACGTTATCGATATATAATTTTGCCGTTATCATTGTTCTTTTTTTTATTACGAGTATAACAATCGGATTTATAATACGAGACTGTACGAATTTGTTGAACGTCAATATTCGAAAGATAGCATATTTCTCGTACGTACATATGTACGATCATGCATATGTATGCCAGGTGTGGCCTATTATCACGATAAGAGCACCTTATTGCCTTACCACTACCACTTCCTGCGATACCTATTTTCTTTAATATCTACATATATATATTTCTATACATATATACATATATATGTATGTATATATATATATTTCATGTATACATATGAACACTTTTTCTGTGAGGAAAGTAATTGCATGCGTTTTGTTTGTTTTCATTGTATTTACACGTATGATGGTAATCGAGTGAATTTTATTTTGTATCAGCGCGTACTCGTGTTGCCAGATGAGTATTTTTCGTTTATTTTCTTTCTACTTTTTTTTTATTTCTTTCATGCTGTTTGTTCTCTACTTCGTTCCTATGTAAGTGTATTTTGTTGATTTCGTACGTATCACAAATTCTAAAAATTTGGTTTCAGCTCTCATGGAAATAGGTAAGATGCGATATCGAATTACGAGTGGAAAGTAGTAGAGTATCGTTTGGTAGAGTTTTGTATCATTTCCCTTTTTTGGTATTACGTATCCATGGTTGAAAATAAGCTGACGTCGGATCATCGAATCGATTGGTCGTTAAACGAATCGAACAAATTGTTGAAGGGTTGGTTCCTCCGCGGTTCTCCGATAAAAGACGACGCGGTTCTATGATCCGAATGGAAGTTTTGGAGTTTTTGTCAGGATACGTGATGGTGGTAGGGTAATTACCGAGCTGTCTCTACGATCGCAATTGCGATAAGTATCGTAGAACGCGTTCCCGCGACGCGACGATTCGAATGCAAAACGGATCATCGTTTCCTGTTACTTATGACGACGAAGACGACGAAGACGACGACAACAGCGACGATGACGATGACGACGATGATCGCGCGGTGAAAGGTTGCGTCGCGACTCCGGTGTTTTGTACACTTTTTTCTTTTTCTTTTTTTTGTTTCCTATCACCGAAGTTTTTTGAAACCATCTTTTCCCGGCATGCTTTTTCTTAATTGCGAAATTATTACAAGTAATAGTTTTGAATAAGTCGCCAATTGGATATATCGTGGCTAAATTTGGGTCTATTTGTAATGTGTGTTTTTATAGATTATGATTACGACTATTACGGTTATGCGGATTATCGAGGTGGCTACAGTGATCCATATTACGATGACTATTATCGATACGAAGATTACTATTTCGATTACGCGCCGCCTCCACCACCTGCCAGAGGGAGAGGCAGGCAGCCTCAACCGGTGGGTCGCCTTTTTTAATGGTTCTAAAGTCGTTTTCGTTTACGAATCATTATTACTTTTCTTTAATACTTTTATGTATGTATGTTATTCCGCGTGTTCGTATATGCGTATACGCGTGCATCTATGTACTATGGCCACCCTGTATGTATCTATGCGCGTATACGTGTATACACACATAAATCGGCAGTAGTTTGACCGTGGCACAGTGTTCGAGGATGTATCCCAAAAGATAGATCGTACAAATCCACTTTACACCATCCAAACAATCAGCCAAAACAAACCACCATATATCGTATCGTTTAACTTGGAACGAGTGTGCGCTCATTTTCTTACTCACCGATGTAAGTACCTGTACCTATGCTCAGAAGCCATACGGTTTATGTGTACATACTTAATTGAAATACGCAATCTTCAAGCTGCGCGTTAACTTATGCATATCGTATCGCGTACTCTTCTCACAATTAACGTATACACGTGTGTTACATGTGATGAATGCGCGCGCTCGGCTCGTGTGTTTGCATATTGTGCGCTTGGACAAGAATTTTACGTGTAAATATTAGGAATCGAACGCGAACGCATCAGTCTTCCCATCGATACGACGTATCCCTCCTCTTCATCGCCTCGTGTATGTTCATTCTCCATCGCCGTATCGTTCATCCACTCGTCGTATCCGTCGATCCACGTTCCCCGACTACGTACGCGATACTTACTTATCCATAAACAGTCGTACCTTGCATCTACTCAACGTACTCGCAATTGGTTTGTGACATGCTCGAAAGATCGATTCGCTATGGTCCCCACTCTTTTGCGAGAGAGAGAGAGAGAGAGAGAGAGAGGGAGAGAGAACGAGAGTGTGAGAAGGTCGGCCGGGGGGATCGAACCTATTACATTGTTACATCTACTAATTCCATTGCTTGTACTAATGTTATCCTATAAACCGAACACACTGCCACTTTCAAATTGCTTGCTAATCATATCTGAGCCATGGTAGACCCATTCCAAATTTTGCAAATTAAAATATAGCCGGGAAAAGCTATCAGAATTTAGGGACGTAAGAGAGGAACGAAAAAAAAGAAAAACTCCTGAAAGAGGAGAGGGAGGAGATGTATAAGGAGGAGAGCGAAACGTGTGCTACAGATATACACGATCTCTCTCTTCTCCTCTGTCGCGTTTCGCATCTGCTCGTTACGCGGAGAAAACGGAAGAGGTGGTAAAAGAAAAGCTTCTGAACTGCGTGTCGCATAGGTTTCTCCCCTTTGACGATACATGTCCACCGCGTCGTCGGTAATATTTGACAAACGTTCTAGTCGTAGGTTAAAGGTATCGTGTACAGGAGAGTTCCCGTTTCGTTGCACGCGACGCACGTGTTTTCTACGTACGCTCGTACGCGTATATACAGCCGTGTGTACTTGTGATGGAAGCGATGTAACTGGGATTACGCAGCTCGGACGGTTGATGATCGAGTGGAACGTTCGAATTCTTTGTCCGAACAGGACGATTTTCTCGCAATGGGGTGGTCTGTTCGATCGGTACGTAGACATTCATTCCATCGCATACTCGTCCTTGTACATACGCGTACGCGTATATATGACCGGCGACGTTCGGTGTCCGTATTACGTTCAGTTCACACGAATGTAATAATTTCTCATTTCGATAGGAGCGACGTTTGAGTCTCGTGGCTCGGATATGATGCACCTAGATATACGTATGTATGTATGTATGTACGTATACATGTATGTATGTATATATGTGTGTATGCATTTGTGCCGTCGAGTCGCAGGGTCTTCCGAATACCAGAGAGCATTCGGTACCTTGTGCGCGAACAACGTGACCATCATCGTTTCACGGACGCATCGTCGAACACGGAATACGGATAGATTAGCACAGGCGTAAGCAAATAGATGCGTAGATCGATGGACCAGTTTCGTATCTCAAACGAATCGCTCTTCGACCGGACGATCGTTCGGTGAATCGAGCGAATTTACCCCGGCAGAACGTCTTCCTCGGTGCAAAAATGGATACACGATCTGTATCTTCGATTTGACGTTGCTTCTCTTCTATTTTCTTTGTTAATTTATACATTAACATCTCGATGTTATTTCGACGTCGAACAAGGTCGAGTACCTGTCTCTAAGTAGTGTTTTGTCGTTTTCTCATTGTTTTCATCTTGCGATGGCTCTCAAGTCTCAGTTCCACTGACGAAGACTTCTCGTGTCAGTTTTCCATTCGTGTCTAACAGGCAAACAGATAGGTAAACAGAAGCAGGGTAGAGAGAGAGAGAGAGAGAGAGAGAGAGAGAGAGAGAGAGAGAGAGAGAGTGAGTGGAAGAGCGAGAGAGATACTGATAACATAGCATGTGAAACGAAAGAACGTGTATGGGTGCTTTGCCTGTGCATGTGTCTAATAACATGTTAAATTG